GGCCCTGGTCTCGGTGCCCGTTTATCACAAGCTGACCACAGTGGCAGTATTAATGTCTCACAGGACTTGTTTTAGCGGGAGAACAGACTCCAGAGAGAAGCACCCAGCCACATGCACTTGCGTTCGGTGCAGTCTCTGATGAAGGAGTCCGTATGCCAACACTCTCTCGTTAAAACAGCCCTAATTCTCCGCGTTCGGTATTTTCGTCGTGCTGTGTGCACCGTCAAACATTTAAAAGATCTCTCCTGTGTGTGAGTGGCGAGCGCTCCCACCCACACACATCCTTGGCTTTACTGTTGAGAGGGAGGTATTTGAACCAGACGCAGTCCCCGTCGGAGGGTCCCGCTGGAGTCTCTCGCTCCGCTCTCGGCCTCGGCAGGACCAGACCGGGGCCACCCTGCCCGTCCCTCGGCAGGTTCCTCTTCCGAGACTGCGACGACTCCCCGCGGGGTCTTACCCGGCGCCCCAAAAGGGGGCACATCCCTCCGATGTGCATGGAGACGGCAGCGGGAGAGCAGGGATCGCAGAGTCGGGAATTCCCTAAAGACTGCGTGTCCGCCTGTTTACATCTCTTCAGAAAACGATGCAGGAAATATTCACTAAAATATCGAGGGCGTGTAATTTAAGCGATGAAGTTTAGATTGGTCTTCGGAGAGATGGGTGATATAAGTGCACGGGCGATGCACGGGTGAATCCTGGATAAGTAAGCCCATGCACTTTCCACGTCCACCTTGTAGACGTTATCGCGTTTCTTCTCGGAAATAACGCCTCTCCTTAATTAGCTCGGCAAAACCGCTAGCCTCTCGCGAAGCCCCTCCGGCCATAGCAATAACCCGGCTCTGCTGCCGGACTGTTCTCTGGACGCGTTTTCCTCTCGACTCCTCGCACCTCCCGCGCCCCGGGGCCGCTGACCCAGCCTGCGCAGCCCTTGGGGAGGCCCCAGGTGAGCCCCGACAAGCACCGCACCCCCGCAGCGCGTCCCACTGCCCCGCCTCCGCGGAGACCCTCGCACTGTGCGGGGCTGCCCCGGAGCCTGGGGGCGGGCGAGGAGACCGGGGCGGCCAGTGGAGCCGCACCCGCTCGTCTCCTGGTGGAGCCGGCGCCGGACACGGTACAAAACACGGAGATTTCCCGCACACTGCTTTTCCTCCAACACCGCAGTATGAATTACCGCTGCTCGTAATCTCACGATCGTCGCGGGGCACAACGCGGAGACTGACTTTGTAGGCTCCTACCGCAGTATTTCCAGAGAGAAAAGGTACACAGGAAGGGAGTTATTTCATAGAAATCTAACCCTCAGCTCTCCGCGGAGCGCACACCAACCTCGTGAATTAACTCGTTGACGGCGCAGGAAAACGACCGACAAGCAATAACTTCGACTCTGCTCCCGGCCGTGCCCGTCCCGCCGCGCCCGGGCTCACCACGGGCTCTCATCACGGTGGCCCGGCTCCTGCACGATGCATCCCTCGGAGCTCCCCGTCAGGTGCTCATTTTCTGTCGTGCCGTCCGCGACAGACGATAGCGGTTGCTGTCGTGCCTCTCTC